TTGCATTCCTCCACGCGCGCTACCAAATTTAAATATTCTGGCACTGACAATTAGGGTAATGAAGGCTTATAGGAAAGAATAGCAATTTAAATAAAATTGGATATCCTAAATACACTACAACCAATAAATCACTACAACCTTATAAAATTTACCCTGTCCTTGCGAGAAACACGGCGAATGTCGTGAAGGAATACGAGCATACAAACCCCCGAAAAAACCTCGTGCGCTCGTTTGCCCTCTACTATCACAGCTCCGCAAATACGCACTTGTACGCTTACATATTCGACTCTGAATATTTGCATACTAACTCTTCGTTGAAAATAGAGCATTCCAAATTTTAAGCTATCTAGTGTACTTTCAGTTGAGGACCTTAAACTGTTTAAATTTTATCAACCATAACAGAGTTCAAACATTCAATTTTTAACATCATTAGAGGAACTGACTTTAAACATTTATTATTATAAGGTATAAATTAGGAACATATTTGAAACTCAAAACAGGACAAATTATAATCCTCTAGCTTGAGTACCTCACAATAAGCCAGCTGGTCTTTTGACGTATCAAGGCCCATTGTCTTAAGTTGGTATGCCTAGAAAAGCGCAGAAATTTATCCAGTCATAATAATTTCTGAGGATGTTACTTGAAAAGAATATTTCAATTTAAAAAAACAGCTCCCTAAAAATATTAAACAGTAATTACGAAAAACTCGGTGTTCTCTAGAACTCATTAATTTTTACTAAAACCGATTTATGATTCTGCAGCTCCTCTGATACAGTCTTCAACTAAGACGAATTAGAGAATGTAAAATGCAACGAAAAAATAAAAAGGGCATGACTAATTCAGTCTATAAAATGTTCCGGACAGAACGAGTACACACTTCCTCTAGCCAAGAGTTTTGAAAACTCTTGGCTAGAGGAAATCTTGTCGCTAGCAAGATCCTCACATAATGAAGAAAATTGTACTTATCTTCTAATTAATTGCAACTATGCATACAAAAAAAATCTGAAAAGATTTTCAGATTTTAGATTAAAGGAGTGTTTTTTAACGTTTTGTGTGCTACCTTTATTTATTAAATATCATGTGCTTTGCACTTAAACCGTAAAATTCAGTTTAACAGCAATGTCGCAAAATAATTTTAAAAATGAACATATCTTTAGAATTTCCGGATGCACAATTCCGCGCGCTGGAATTAAAAGATTTTCCTCCCCCCCCCCGAAGAGTGCTGCCATTGCTCGTTTTGAAATCGTTGAGTTTCTTAATCAAAAATTCGTTAAAGTTTTACAAAATATAAAATCAATAAAAACAAATTCCTAATTTCAAATTTGGGCTTTCAGATGCCCATATTCAGACTAGGATTACGTCATTCAAAATTGGATGGCTCTAGGTACCGTTGTTTTATCACAATGGGAGGAAACATACATATATTTATGCAGATTCTTCATTATTTAATTTCTTCATATATAATACAGGACGATAATATTTGGTGGTGACAATTTTGAAAAGGAACGGACATTCAGAGTGATTCGATGCAAAATCGCAAAACGAAAACAATAGTCCCTCAGGGAGAAAGTAAAAGCCCCTTTGGCCTAAAAAAAAATATTGATTATTCATTATTGTGGTATTATCCATTGTTAGTAATGCTTGTCCTAGATTTGACGTAAATATGCTTGAATGCAATGAGCAATTAAATAAAAAACCAAAATAGCAGTAACATAACACCAGTCACTACAGTGAATCGCCCCGCATTCTCTGATATAGCATTTAAGAAGAATATTATCCTGAACTTCAGACAATAAACTAAAAGTATGTTGTTTTCGCGTCCAAGGTTTCAACTTATGGAAATATAGATGATAAATTTATGCTATTCTAAAGAATTGATCTTTTATCCCAGCAGGTGCTGGCAATCTTTCCAGAGTGACGAGAAGATAAATATATTTCACTATTTCTTTTCAGTGTACTGGCAGAAGGAATAATGCAGCTCTATATGTGAAGAATTTGGATACTTCATGTCCAAATATTTCTCGGCAGCCAAAGTATTTAGATAAATAAGTTATCCGCCATTGTTTTAGGAAAAGAAATACACAGTTATTTTATTAGGTCTCCAAGGAGAATGATATCCCGAATAAATATTTGAAATTTAATGACAGTCATAATTATATTTGTTTAAATGGAAAGGGTGTTGTTACTACTTTTATTATGTAAACGTATCAAAATTCCACGTCATCGATTTCACATTTCTCTTAGGCGTTTTGTTTCCATAAAGAAGTACAAATATAAATCTGAAAACATAATATTGTATTGATCGAATTATCTTGCTCCATAAATACAGTAAACCCTTGGCAAACCCGGATTTGGAGAAACCGATTTCCCAAATACGCCTTATTTTAATTGATCCCATTTAATTTGTCCAACGCTAGAATTTCACTCATCAACACTGAATACTTGCTGCCATCAGCTATGACCAGGAGTTATCAACAGTTTTAAACGATTTCCTTCGAATGAAAGCAAAGGCCAAAGAATTAAGATATGGAAGATGTGGAAGTTAAAGATTTAATCGATAAATGACGAATGAATGATTGGATGATCTTATAACACTAAATGGCAATGAAAGCAGTTATGATGAGGGAAAAGTATAGCGTCTTTAACCCATAAAACTTAAACAAATTGTTAAGAAAAGAGGCAGAAACTGTCTGATTTTATATCGAAGACTAACTTACATGAAGAAGCAAGATACTGTAAGAGAAGCATTAAAACCTCTGCCCTTCTTACAGCGAAATGCAACATTTATCAAGGAAACAGTGCATTTGTTAATGTCGTACTGATTCATTATCTTTTAAATACAATGTACGTCCAGAAAGTACGTTCCGTTTGGTAATAAAAGTAAATTGTGTACTGCTACAGAAAAGTTATTTATTGCACAAAATTCAACAACTCTTAAACTTCTTTTCCGCATAACTGCCGAAATATTGCAGGCATTTGTCGTAGCGTGGCACAAGGTTTTGTGTACCTTCTTCATAGAAATTTGCCGCCTGTGTCTTCAACCAGTTGGAAACAGTTTCTTTCAGCTCGTCGTCATTGTTGAAGTGTTGACCGCCAAGGAAAGAATTACGATGTAAGAACAGATGAAAGTAGCTAGGAGCGAGGTCAAGGCTGTACGGAGGATAGTCAAACACGTCCCAGCCAAATCCCTGTAGGAGGTTTTTCGTCACATTTGCAGTGTGTGGGCGTGCGTTGTCGTGAAGAAAAACAACACCTTTTGACAGCAATCCTCGGCGCTTATTCTGTATTGCACGGCGTAATTTCCGAAGTGTCTCGCAATAAGCATCTGCTCTGATTGTTTGACCACGCGGTAAGAAATCAACGAGTAAGATGCCTTTCCAGTCCCAGAACACTGTGCACATCATTTTTTTGAGGTGTCAAGATTTGCTTCGGCTTAACCTTTGCTGGGGATGAAGTGTGCCTCCATTCCATTGATTGCCGCTTACTTTCAGGGGTGTCGTAAGAAACCCAAGTTTCATCTCCTGTGACTATCTGTGTCAGAAATTCTTCGCCGCTTTCAGCATAACGGGTCAAAAACTGAAGTGCACTACCCATCCGTTTTGTTTTGTGTTGCTCAGTAAGAATCTTTGGTACCCAACGTGAGCAAAGTTTACGAAATTTCAGTTTTTCGGTAACAATTTCATGCATTAGTGATCGTGAAATTTGGGGAAATTCCATGGCGAGAGCACTAATTGTAAACCTTCGGTTTTCATGGATCTTATCATCAATCGCGTGAACCAGTTCTTCTGTAACCAAAGATGGACGCCCACTTCGTTCTTCATCGTGCACATCACTACGTTCGTCATTGAACTTTCGGACCCATCTTCTCACCATTGAATCACTCATCGCTTTTGGTCCGTAAACATCGCAAATTTGCCGATAAATTTCACTAGGTTTCACTTTCCTCGCATTCAGAAAACGAATCACAGATCTGATTTCACAAGCGGCGGGATTTTCAATCAACACCGACATTGTAAACAAGCACAGCAAAGCGTACGTGACTGACAGCGATCTCCAAATGGCGCGCGTTTCTTCTCCTTGATACAGAGCGTCTACTGCGCATGTGCGGAACTGCGATCGCAGAGCTGCAGCGGAGATAAATTTAAACGGAACTTACTTTCTGGACGTGCCTCGTAATTACAGAAAACATAAGAAAATATGTAATGTATCACATCATAAAGCGTGATTTGCTTACATGTGTACAAGCTTCACGGAGCGGTAGGTTATTCAAAGTCGACTCGGAATACATAGCAATGTAAGGATTTATGAGTTACCGAAAGGACGCAAAGGAAAATCGGGAAGGCAGCAAAAGGACACTCATGGAGACCTTTTGTTTGCGTGAATATGCCAACAAACGCTTGGATTCTGTATCAGGGAAGAGATATTATATACTTGAAGAATGATAATTGCCGGAGATTTAAACTCAAAATACCATAGTTGGAATACTAGGACGGTCAATGCAAACGGCCGAATTCGGAATAACTATCTGCTAAGTAATGTTATTAAGCTTGTTGCTCCTCACACACCTGCCCGTCTGCATCATAACGGCACAGGGGAATTCTAGATATTGTGCTACTCAAAAATATAAGTACTACTCCTTTGCTGGAAGTTAACGAAGATTTGATGTCTGACCATTTCCCGATAAGCTTTGATTTTTGCGAAATTTTAAAACTCTGTAGTCCGTTGCTTCCTGTGAGAAAATGCCAAAACTGGGTGGAGCTGTAGAAGGGGGCTGTGGTCAGACACCGTTCAGCTGGTCACGTGGTCTAGAGCAGCGAATCCAATGTCATGAAGGGGCGTTGTTTGTCAACTACTGCACTAATTGAAAAGATATAAGAACATAATTCAAAATAATTACATCAAATATTCAGAAATTGTTATGTACACTATTTACATGGGGAAGAAATGTTCTTTTAATGTTAAATGGCTGTTACTTTTCAGGCTGCTAGGAGCCGGAGATTGTCTACCTGAGCGGTGGCATGTAAAGTCCAGTATGTCAAAAATCACAATAATGGAATAAACAGTCTTAAAATTACTTGGTAGTTAGTTGCAGTGCATCTTACTTCCTCTGTGGTTGATTGCCGTATGCCGAATTTCGCGCGCGGGTGTTTTACTTGTTCCACAACAACGCCCTCTAGCCCGCTACGGATGCATTTCCATTCCTACACCTCTGTGTATTTTCGAATTCTCTTTGAGCAACCTACCTCTCCCTGCAGTGTGTACATGCCTAAGCAAATTACGGTGCATATTTTGTTCTGTATCGACAGTTAACTCAGATATTATTCGTCAAACTTTAGGATGTCTTCCATTGTAAATTAAGCTCTACGCTTCGTATTTACACCATAAAAATACAAATTTAGATTCGGGAAAAAAATGACCAGTCTAATTTAAATAAATAAGCAAAAACATAAGCAAATTTCCTTCAGTCCTTGTCGCAAAGCGGAATTTTTTTTGCGTGTTATGAAAATTTTTCTTAAGTAGTTAAATCATTTTGGGACAACATTTGACTCAACAATAATAAAATAAATCATCTATCTGATGGCCCTCTACAGTTCCAGATAATGTCAATCTTCTGTGGAGGCGGTCGTTTTAAAAAGGTAATTTTCATTATGTATGTTTATTTATACTTAAGAGACTGGTTACTTCCATAGGTGGTAATATTTGATAATTGGTCTCCAGAAAAAGTTTCATTGCAGTTTTTGAATGCTCTGAAATTTAATCAAAATTTTATACAAAATGTTTTAAAATTTATATTCAGTAGTGCTTGAGTTTCTACTCGCGTAGTTAGAATGATTTATTCTGTGTGAAATTCAGGTTTAGAATGAGTTCATTATTCTATTATTTAAACTATTCTTAAAATCTGTCCACTTAACGACCTTTTTCATAAAATAATATTTTTTCGATGAAAAATTGACGTCCTGACGGCAGTCAGCTTGTACTGCAACTAAACGGAAAATATGCAGAGACAAATGTCAGCTAGTTCTCCACAATAATACGAGGGCAATCCAAAAAAAAGGTCTCCTATTTTTTGGGGACGTAGAGAAAGTTTTAATACGGTTGTTGGCAACACTGTTGTGAGTGGTGCTTTCTCCACTACCACATAAGCACGCAGGCGCTTCGCTCGGATGCTCAGTCTTGGCTTGGCAGCCATTCGAAATAGAGCTCCCGATAAACGTTACCGCCAAGTGCGAAGTGCGCGCAGTTATTCGATTTTTGAATGCAAAAGGCGTTAAACTGGTTGAAATTCACCGCCTATTGACGGAAGTGTATGGACAGTCGTGCATGGATGTCAAAAAAGTTCGCAAGTGGTGTAGAGAGTTTACAGCCAGTCGTACTGAAATTCATAACGAAGAAAGGAGCGGGAGGCCGTCAATTGCCGATGAGACAATCGCGAAAGTTAAGGAACTTGTGCGTAAAGATCGGAGGATCACTCTGGATGCTGTCTGCATTTTGGTTCCTGAGGTTTTCAGAAGCACCATCCACAGGATTTTAACGGAAAAGTTGCAATATCGGAAGGTGTGTGCAAGATGGGTGCCGCGTATGTTGACAGAAGACCACAAACAGCTAACGGGTTTATTCTTCCCGCGAATTTCTTCGCCGCTATGGAGACGAAAAGGACAACTTCTTGGACTTCTTGGAAAGATGAGGGTCAACACTTCCTGAAGGGCATGGCGGCAAGCTGGTATGACATGGGCATTGTAAAACTGCCACAGCGTCTACAAAAATGCATCGATTGAAATGGCGATTATGTTGAAAAATAAAGCATTCTTCAGTCTTCAAAGAGATGTAGCAATTATAGAAAACAAATGTTTCTATGTATATCTAAAAATATAGGAGACCTTTTTTTGGGATTGCCCTCGTATTTAACATTCAGCACTTTGCCTTGGATTATTGCAGCAACCCAAATCAAATTCTTTTAAACAAGACATCGTTCTCTCGATTAATCACTACAAAATCACCAGAACACTAAAAATAAAGCCATAACCTAAAGCAGCAAACGTTAATTTCACCTGCTTCCATCAAATACTACTCTTAACCAGCCGAATGGCAGTAGTTTTCACTGTGCGTTTTACTCCACAAGCATGTGTTGGTTAATCTAACTCAATTTTAATCTCTTTTGCGGGGTCTTAATTTTCACAACTTTCGATCCGAACTAATACATTTAATGCAAATTAAAGTAAGTAAAGGAAAGTGATTTAATTTTTCTTCCTTGGTAATACCCTCCCCCAGGGGTCGACGTAGAGAACTCTGCAAAGCTACTGGCTAGGATTTGTAGCTAATCAGTCTCGGCCTCGGAGGTATAAGATTACGAACCTTGCGGTTTCAGAACTCGGGGTTGGATCGTCTGTACGATCTGACTTCGGGGGCTTGGCCGTAAGTCGTAGAACAGATGGTTCTGTAGCTTGGTGTGGGACGGCACCACGCTGTTGGACGGCACACAGTTTGCTAGGTAATGTCCTGGTGTGACGAGCTGCCCGCGTAGTACTGACGAGAATAATTAACGATCAGTCAAGTCCATCAGTTTATCAGGTCACGCATCCGCTGAGAGCAGAGAGTGGTGACCCCCTCGGGCCCGGCCTAATAAGCGGAGGGTTTTTGGAGTTATCTCGTCTGTGTCTAAGAGCCGGTTGGGACCTGGTTCTCCAGACGTAAGTGAATTTGTTCAAAACCTCAAAATTGAATTTTAACAATGGGCTGAGGCTAAGTTTTGGAGTTTGTCGCCCAGTACTCCAGCCCAAAGATAGTCTTTTGGTTTGTGGCTCACCTTCTGTTGACCTGCCCCTTGCCTAATATGGGGATGTCTTACTTAGGGAAACAGTTCCCTCAGTTTGCGTAACTGATCGCAGGAGAGGTGTATAAATTTTGATTGATTCCTTGGTAATAAAAGCTACAATAATTTGCAGAGACATTAGGTTTATTGTGAAGCAGTAGTCATGAAAAATAAGCAGTGCCCTCGCCGGGATTCGAACGACGGACCTCTCGAATACGCGTCGAGCATGCAGACCACTGCACCACGAAAGCACGCTAAGAAGGCGGGAGAAATACCTTATGTACTCCCTCTTTTAAAGTGCGACTGGAATTTTAGGGAACCCAGTCGTCAAATCATGCGAATGGAGAATCATGATCTACAACCCTTTCAGTTCGGGCTCCACTGTAGAGATATCACGTATTTTTTGAAAGCAGGACTGATGAAAAATGTGCAACGCTTTCGCCGGGACTCGAACCACGGTCCCTCGAATACGCGCCGAGCATGCAGACCACTACACCACGAGAGATCGCTAAGAAGGTGGGAGAAATACCTTAGATACTCCCCCTTTTAAAGTGCCACTGGAGTTTTAGGGGACCCAATTGCCAAATCCTTGGGATGGAGAATTATCATTCACCACCCTTTTAGTTCGGGTGCCACAGTAGAGCATTAGGTTTATTTTGAAGCAGGAGTCGTGAAAACTGAGCAATGCTGTCTCCGGGACTCGAACCACGGACCTCTCGAATACACGCCGAGCGTGCAGACCACTACACCACGAGAAGGTACGCTAAGAAGGCGGGAGAAATACCTTATAAATTGTTTCAGTATTACAGCTTAGGTAAGCTATTTAGGAAGAACTTACTTGTTGCAAACGCTGCTCTTAAACTAGGTATAGTACATAGATTAAAATGATTTCAAACTCATTCTCTAGTTTAATTAGTTTCAAAATGCAAGAATTTTTATATCTAATATGAAAAGATAAAACTGCTTTCATTACAAATACCTTTAGTCCGCGTATATGTGGAAATAGCAAATTACACGAGGGCATGTATTTAAATATAATACAAAGGTTGTTTTCAAACATTCAAATTACCATTTTTTTTTTTAATTTGCCAATCTCTATGATTTAAATTTTGCTTTTGTATATTTCTTACAAAAGAATTTTATTGTATGTGCGGAATATCTAAGTTATTTTTTTGTTGTTCCTCTGCTTGCGAAGCTATTG